AATGTGTTTAAACTGATTTTGACTTAATTATTTTTGGCCAATAATCGTTTTGGTATTTTCCGGCCGATTCCGGTACATAATCACGTGATTTGCCCCCGCTTTAGCCATCCCCCAAATTCGGTAAAAAAAAACTTGTGTGACTGAGGATCTGTGGTATCATTATTATTTGTATGCGAGAGGGAACAGAAACATGCGAGTTTGCAGAGACAGACATCTTATTCGATGCAATCCATATATACGCACACAACATGTATCATGCAAGTGAAAAGGAGGCTGGGGAGGCTGCACCGGAAAATTGGAGAAAATAATTTCAGAGGGAGGGAGGGGAGAGAGGGAAGGAGGAAATCCTAGCTCTTTTTATAACAAGAGACTGAAGAGCATGGCATGGCCACATAGCATTGTCGATGGATATTTTTACAGAGGTACGCCTAAGGTTTCGATGCCTGACAGATGATGCAATGAAATTGATTGAGCCCCACAGACGGATTGGTTGACCAGAGAGAGAGGGAGAGTAAGTGAAAGTGAAAGTGAAACAAACAGCAGACGGGGTGCAATCGATTGATACAACTTGCTCAAAGGTTATCCAAGAAAGAACTCTGCTCAATCGAGCATTAAAGGCCCAAAGGCGAAAGTTTTTAATATTAATGACTTGCATGTAACATGAAGAAGCATGTGCTACCTGAAATTGCCGGCCATTAATTATATTACCCCACCCCCCAGACAGTTTCCAAACGAGTAGTACATACCCGGGCCGTTCTCCACATTTAATGACTGGGGGGACGAAACCGGCAATGGTTTGCTGTGACAATTCCGAAAATCCGTTAATCATTAATTATTATTATTATATATATCACGCGGGTCTTGGCAAAAATCGGAGATTTAAAATTTTTGAGAAATTCCGTTCTCAAACTGGGGAGCTGAGGGAAGGTAATATTCTTTTCGGTTTGTCATCTGCATGTCTGCAAATTGATGGTTACATTGTTAATATATTTCTCGAACAGCAAAAAGGTTCTGCAGTTTAATTAAAATGTAAATTATAACGATCAACGGACTTGCCTTTTATTTTTGCCTCCCCCGGGAAAAGACATTAGGGTTGCACTCTGGTCTTTTTATTCACCTAACAAACCAATAGTTATAAATGCCGAAAGGTATCGGGGAATGCCCGAGATTTAAAAGAGCGTTGGGGGTTAGTATTGACCGTCTCAAAGTCGATTTACCGATTTCAAAGAATCTTGTAATATTGTCTATTAAAACATTAGATTAATAGTAATCTTGTTATAGAAATTTGCATGTACGATGGTTCACCACTCGCGCTTGTTCTTCAGATTGCCATCCAAGATCGCATCATCGTATGAGGCCAAGGTTGTAAAACCCCGCTTGTAGTAGAAATGCAGAATACAATAAACCAGTGAGTTTGGATGAGAATTCGACAAGCCTGCATTTTAAGCTCCCGAGTGCGGCTATGTGGTAATAGGATGATGGGGATCGGACAGTCTTTTGCCTAACATAAGAGAACTCTTTCGTTGTTGTAGATTTACTGTTGTAGATTTTCCTGGCATTTCCTTTGCTCGTGAATGGGAAAGCTGTATGTGCGTGTGTGCGTGTGTGCGTGTGTGTGTGTGTGTCGGGAGAACTGAGTAAATAAAATGTATTATCTTGATAATCGGGAAACTTTTCTTTGATGTAAATACGCTATCAGATGCCTGCGGATTGTCACGCGTGAGTCCAATGTGATTACCATAGCATGTGTTTCCATGTAAGACAATTGCGCTATTGTTATAATTAGTCGAAATTATAGAGAAATCTTTGACAAAGAAAATCATAAAGAGCAAATAAAGAAAACAGCAAGATCAAAGCTCGACATGATGAGCAGAGATTCGACAAAAAATTCTTTGTCGAGTGCAAGCATGTATTGTACGTCATGTGATTGAACTGGCATTGATCGCAGTCATAATCAGAAAATTTTTTCCAAAAGCAAAAATGGACATGTTTCTCTCTAGATGGTGTATGTGTCAAGATGCTAAAAATAAAAAGACGCATGCTGTGTTAATTGTGCGACTACAACGCTGGAACATGCTACAGAAAGTTGTTAATTCTTTGCTTTTTTTATCTTTACGATCGTAAACGTGTATGTGAGTGATGACTTGTATTAATATTAATTTCGATGATCTATCAGATAAGATTACTTAATATCCTCTTCAACATGTATTACTACGTGCGCTGAACAGATCTAAAAAAGGGGGGGGGAAGTGGGGTGGAAGCTTTATTGTCACAAGTCTGAATTTTTAAGAACACCGCATCAAAACGAAGGGGAAATGGGGTTTTAATTGCTAACAGGTTTGCGTTCGAGGTAAAGCTATGAATAGTACGTACGACGTAAATATTCGATGCGAGTTAACAGACACAACGTGTATCGCGCTCGGATCATTGACTTACTAATTCCTGAACCTTTGATTTATATTGGTTGAGGTAGTCGGGCGTCATGACGAAATGGAAGCCATCGATGTATAAGAAGTAAATAGAATGCTTACAAATACATAGCTAATTCCCTATCTGGTAGTCTTGGACGTCATCGATAGCGATATCTACGAGTTTTCGAACTAACGAATTTGAGCCTAATACTTAGCCGTATGGATGAAACACGTTTCAATACCCTTGTCGATGGGGCTATGGATTCCTCTACCCTCCTCCCTTCACCACGCGTGAAAATGTGGAATTTAGCGTAACAATTTTCATGTGACCGCAGACAATGATCCGATGAAACTCTGCATGCAGACCTTCTCTCTCTCTCTCTTTCTCACACACACGCACACACACACTGCAAATAGCATAAGGTTTTCAATAGAAAGAGTTCACAATTGTTTAGAATATGCAAATCGTGCTATTCTACATTATTACCCCTGTTAGTGTTGGCATAAGGGATAGGTAGGATAAGGCGGAATTAAAATTAGTAGCAAAGGGAAAATAATCTATTATTATATTGTGCATTATTTATATACATATATTTGATACAATGATCACCCCGCTGTTCATTGTTTAATAAAACTTTAGACACGAGCAATGCTTGGCGTTTTTGATGGGACACAAAAATCTTAAAGGGCAAGGATAGTCGAGGAGATGTTTGAAACATGAAATAGAAAAAAGCGAGCTTTTTGAATGACATCACTTGATCATGATAACGAAATTACCGACTTGACCCGACAGACACCAATAGACCGACTTGTTAATATGGCCGCTTTTATGTCAAGAAAATAATCGAGGGGGAAAAAGTTCGGTGAATCGCTCTGTCCATATGGTTTCGGTAATTAAAACACTCAATAAGAGATTATTATGGAATGATTAGCAAAAGTAGTAGATGATGATTTGCAGGTTTGGCGAACGCTAACCATCTTTTCGTTCGCTGCATTTGGTTAGATGCTCATTTGAGAATATAGTCATTTAGGAGAAACTATATGTCGGAACACACTGTTGCATCCATTGGTCCCCTCCAATGTTTGAATCCGTTTTGGGTAAATCACGAATTTTAAAAAATGTAACGCCAGTTTTATATTATTTGGAATACCGTTGACCACTAGCAAATTATCCTCGGTCAAATATTAATTGAACTCATGCTGATATGTAAAATTGTTAGTAAAAGCTCTGCGTTGATTATTATTTACAAGCAGCAAGTACGAATAATTTATTCACACCATAATTCGATTACAACCATCGTGTTATACTCTGGGATCTTTGTTGCAGTTTTTCGAATACGTAAGCAAGTAAAGGTAAAAAGAGACTAATCTATTAGTAATAAGATTGAAAAAATATTAGGCAAGGATGTGCCGAGTTAAGAAATGTCTAGATTAAAACGTCGTAGTGTTTAGTGTGTGTGATCCTTTGTTCAAGTGGGTGCAACGTAACAAATAATAAACTGTGTCATTGCCTTGTTTGTATTTGATTTCTGTCTGGTTTGTATTTACTAGATATGGTCATGAATATAATAACTTGCGCTTTCTTCATATCAGATTATTGTCCCCGTGTATATTGACAAACCTTTTCCGTTGAAACTATTCCATCCATAAGGTCGATTGGCTGTGTTCATTATCACCATGACCGTAATAAAGTTGACACATATTTGCCTTTGTCGATATCATGTTCTGACATCTACCGTATTCTCCAACACTTAGAACCTTCATTACTAATCTTGCAGGCGGTATTATTGTGTTACCTTTATGATCTACGTCCAACAGCATAATTAGCACATTGATAAGACAATTCATTTATATTCACTATTATATTATTACCCTGCATCAAGTCTGACTAAATCTTATTTGGTGTCCCCCAACTCACAATTACCGTTTGCGTAATGAGACCTCAAATACGGACATTTGTTTAATTAGCCAACTTTATAAGCAATTAACCGGTAATTAACTCTCCGTGTTTCGGAATTTGATGTGATTATTGTGATATCCCTTTCCTAATATGTAAGTTTCTGTTGGTATATATAGACTGCCTGTCTTCCCGTCTTTCCACAACAAACCGAGTTCGTTTAGTTCATCAGAACAACTATCCTCCTTTCTCCTTCCCAATCTCATACCGCAAGCTCGAGTCCGAATTGCCAGGTGCAATTGTCCTGACTGGAGAATACATTACCTACATTTCATAGTCCAAATATCATTTACATTTACATTCGTTCTCCCTTCTCTACTCATACCTTTTTTCATTCGATATGAAATTCAATCTTGCCGTGATTTTCCTCCTCGCAACGTTGTGCGTTGCTGTATTCGCTACACCTGTGCCCGAAGCTGCTGAAGTTGAAAGTCTTCAGAAGAAAAGACAAAGATTAAGAAAACTTAAGCGGGATACCAAGGCTCTCAGGAAACTGAACAAGAGAGTGAGTTGATGAATCGATTTGTCGTTTCATATGATTTTGATCTATTCGAAATACTTTTTTTTTGTTTAATGAGCTAACAATCATCATCTATAAAAATCAAATCAGGCTGCTGCTGCTGCCGTCGCCACCGATCCCAATGTCTTTAATCAGAATACTCTCTCCGGACCCCCAAACCCTAATATCTGCAACCAGTCAAAGCTCACCAAGGGTAATGGAACGCAAGACAAAACTCCTGGTCCCGGTGGTCGTACTTGTGTCACCACTCAGTTGGGAGAACTCCCCGATGTTACCAATATGCCCTCGTCGTTTATTGTCAGCCCACAGAACGGTGCAAGAATCCCGGCCAACCAACCATTCACCGTATCCTTAAAAATGAGCGGTATCGAGCTTGGTAACTTTGATAATCCCGATAACCAATACTACTCGTTCGCCCAACAGTTGAACAAGCAAGGTCAAATTAAGGGTCATAGCCACATTACCATCCAGTCATTGGACGGTGCTAACCCTCCGAACGCTCAATTATTCGATTTCTTCAAGGGTTTGAATAATCCGCCCGTAAATGGTGTCTTGTCAGTATCAGTTGCCAACGGTCTTGCTACCAAGGGACTGAAGAGAATTTGCTCGATGTCTAGCAGCTTTGCCCACACGCCTGTGATCATGCCCGTCGCCCAACGCGGTTCTCAGGATGACTGTATCCGTGTCTTTATTGTATAAAAAGTTCGATGTCCTTTTCTTTCGACAAGATCTTTTTTTCTATCTTTTCTTTCAATTTCTATTCTATCTTTTTCTTTTCTTTTATTTCACTACAATTTCTTTTCCCGGCGACGGTCACGTATTATATATCTCTTTCTTGTAAATGATTCTGTGAGATTATTAGGTATTGTAAATCCATCATTATCAACCTATCGTGAAACCAGTCATGTCTTTACCTAGACGGGGTAACATACTGGAAGCGTTGCTCGCCGGGGATTGGTTGATGTATTAGATTTAATTCGTATAGAAGCTTGTAATTTAATTTTTATAATACGGTTTTGTGCATCTTGTATTATGATATGGTCGCAATCCCTTTTCTTGTTCACGAAAATTGGTAAAAAAAAAATAGGTTGGTTCGGTGACTCATTGTATGGAAAGAGATAGGCGTGTATGATTATGTTTAAACACTGCGGTTTTTTCTCTCTTGCGGAATAAATAAAATCATCCCAAAAAATTTACAATGTTTGGTATAGTTGGGGGGGGTGTGAGTGTGAGGATATGAGGATGAGAGTTGTGCACAACTAGCATTAGTTGATGTGTACAGGGGGAAGAAGGGGAAAGTGCAAAAGGTTTGTTGTCAATTTTTAGCAATAAGAATCTAGATTGATTAAAATGGGTTAGCACATGGATGATTAAATGCAAACCTAATCGATTACCGTAAAGATCTAAGCTTTTGTGTTCAATTAGTAAATATAGATTTACCATTACGGTTAGCAAAGTGTGATATCTGAGAGGGAAGGCACAGCCAATTTTAGTGCAACATTCCGTGTAACAGGTTACCGAACACATGCGCCCTAAATCCGAACAACAATTTGATTTCTTTGTAATGTCTATTTATAATTCGTATACTACTAAACCATATCCGACGTTCGCAACAAAACGCTTTACTCAACCAAAACCGTAACAATGATGCATTGTGAGCTGTGATTGTTATAGTAAGCATAAAGAATTCTCATAATACCATCGCCATGCGTTATACTCTGTCCTTCTCTTAGCATTCCATACGACTTACAACTTGTTTCATTAAATGATTCATCACTGTGCGCGTGACCCTTGTGCGGCAAGTCTTTCTTTTCTTCTTCTTTGTTTTATCCATCTTTTTATAAAAACTGGCCTGCGCCTTTAAATCAGTGCAATGAACATCATCGTTAAAGTATGACGATATTTGTATTCCAAGTTTGCGCACCCTTTTCGAAACGCGCGATTAAAAGCATTTTGCAAAAAGAATCTGATTACCATGTGGGATGAATGTCTGCGAACATGTCAACTGCCTGTCAGTATGCAATGCTTTGCATAACCACGATCTGGGTAAGGACGTTTGCTGCTACTGCGTTTGTCTGACTTTTAGAGGTTTGAAGATATGACTGACTTACTGGAATTCAGGCGATTGTGTTTTGAGGCTCTGCATGACAGTTTGCCAATAAGGCTCTGCGCATTCAAGAGAAATAGTGTTTATCTTTCAAATGATATCTTCCTGATATATAACAATGCACAATATCCACCGCATCTCGATCATATATCAATCTTGCTAGTTGAAATCTTTAAAACGGTTACATCGAGGATATGATTGTCAGACAAATCTTATTGCTGCTGGATAGAGTTAAATCTCCACAAAACTTGTTGTTTTATTATTATTTTTTACTAATATACACTATATCATAGAGCTGCTGAGGAGCAAGGACAGTATAGTAATATATAGCATGCCACTAAAGAACATGATGCGAGCAAGTTTGTCATCTCCACAATATTGTTGGCATGAATTGAATACTATCAGAAGATACCTGAAAGAATTGATTGGATATGAAAACTTTATTAATGTGCAATAAAAGTCAACCAGAAGAGAAATCATAACTATACGTCTCGCATAATATGCTAAGTTAATAATCTCTTGCTACTTGTGTAATTTGACTTTTTGTTCAGATAATTGCCATGTCTTGCACCAGCAATTATCATTCACTGAACGGGACTATGAGAATGAAGGATTTATTATTCTCTTGCAAAATAAAACCATGTATCTTGCTTTCGTAGAAGATGTGCGTTCGGTTTCAACGAAACAGCCTTGCTTATTGTGACACATCTTGCAGATGCTGTAGTTTTTGCTTTTCATTGCGGGTGACTGACAACTGTTGGAAATCTAAGGTTTTTAGGCGTATTAATTAGTCATCAATAAATCTTGGTGGGCGGGGGGACACAATCGGCGTATTCGTTTCATCAAAACTCCTGTTGTACAATCGTGAAACCCAAGTTTTATTAATTGGTTCGGATTTGTCTTTGGTAGAGAAGGAAAGTTTGTTGATAATTTTTATTTGTAAGCGTCTCACCCGACAATTACAGACTCGATATGAAGAAAATACAATCAACTTATCCGTACCAATAAGATAACGAATTAACAAAATCAGTGTCAATAGACCTTTATTCTATCTTCGACATAAATATTCAGTTGCTTGTTGACAAATCTTATCCGAATCTCGGATTTAATTTCATCGAATAATTAAACCAAAATTGCCGCTGATACTGACTAAAACAAAACTCACGGTCATTTGGGATATTGAGAAGTTATCACTATGCTTCATAATTAACAATTTAAACTCAAGTTAAAGTTGTTTGCAAAATTATGAGATCGTGAAACGTCGATGCGACGAAATTTAAATAAACCGAACCGGGATTATATAATTAACGGAAAATTCAAGTATATATTCATTGGCTCATTTGTTTAAAATTGCTGGAGCTAAGGACAATATTTGCTCAAAATATATGTATAGCAATTTTGTATTTAAGAAGCAAGAAATAATCGGCAATAATCAAGTTTAAGTATTTAATATTGAGTATATTTTATAGCTATAATAATAGATCCCTACAAAGTTTGAACTATTCTTTACTTTTATTGCTTACTTTTGTTGAAGCTTATTCCAACAAAATTATAAGATTTAAACAGTCGAAATCAAACTTGTTTATTTCTGATTTCCCTCCTCAAATCTAAGATGGCGTGTGAAGACAAATAGCATTTGTTGTAGTGAGTTGTTTCAAGAAATAAATGCAAACGAGTTAAAGTAATTTTAAATTTTAGAGCTCCATATTGATATTAAGTAGCAATATGTCAGTACCGTTATCACTGATTTCAATAACACTTACATATGAGACACGCTGCAACAAAACCAGACAAAGTGAACATTCTGTTATCATTATGTGAAGTCTGATTTTATGATATTAGATATGGCTGTAAAATTGACCGGTATTACTGATGACATTTTGAAAACTAATAATGATGCTCATTCATAACTTATGAACTCGTTAATTTTAACATTCACTCTATCATACCAGAATGTGATGAATATAAACCATAACAGGAAGGATTAATATACAGTGACAAAAACGTGTCTAGCGCGCTCTGTTTACATGCAATTTGCGACATGTAAAATACAAAATAATTAAGGGTTCGAGACTATTCCTTCACATGCTGATAATTAAGGGCGATTAGTAGTTCGAGGATGATTCTCCGCATGTCACACTCCCTTCTCCAAATAATGTTACTCCTGATTCTACATAATTCTTTACAACTTGAGGCTAAAAATAATCATGGAGTTTTTGCAAAATTTGACATAATAATAAACTGAGAACACGCATAGGCCTCGGAAATTAGATAACTGATAATAAAATTGACCTCAATAACTGTTATATAAAAACTTTTTATTTTCGTTGAATAAAAGTTAGTAATAACAAAGACGTGTCTTTTTGTAAATACTAAACATCTAATGACGTATATTTTAAATCAAATTGCCCGAAATTTTATATTGAAAAGTGAAACATATAAGAGACTTGTCCTATGTTTACCACAATCAGACCTCCAATTATGATTGATTTAAACAAGTTTTCTCTATGTTTGTTTGGATTGGAACACACCTTTGGAATTAGATAAATAAATGAAAGTTTACAGATACGCATATTTCTTCCGCTTCCATGCAAAGCGCCGCGTAAAAACCGAATTGGTGTTACATGTTTAGAGAAACTGCCGAAAAAAGCATTGGGTAGATTCAAAGTATTACTATGATACATTGACATTACTCAAGCGAGAGCATCTGAGATTGCTTATATTTTTTTGCAAACGGATCGACTAACTACTTGACAGTTGGGTTATTGGGATAATACATAAATTTTATTTATTTACGTTGGATGACATGCTCACGTCTTTCCCTAACTTCCCTTGTTCTTATAGCATTTGACAACCATAATTCATAATAATGCAATACCGAATGTACAATCAAGTGTTTGATAAAAAAGTTTATAGCGTATAAATTCGTCCAAAATATGTGCTTTAGTAAAAATGATTATTTAATATATCTTCGGTAGGTTAATGTAGCTGTAATCCAAACTGTTATTCCACAAATAAGCGTTGGGTTAATTATCCGTAACATCAAGTAGAATCATGTTTAATTTTAAAATAGTAATGTAAATGGTTTCATTCGCTCGGACATTTAATATCAAAGGTGTTATTAAATTACGATCGTTGGAAGTTACTATTCATTTATGTATTTATTGATAATTTCTGCCGATATAGGCATCCGCAATAGACCGAGAGACATCAAATGCATTTTCCAAGATTGGAAAAATTCTTTGATCCATTAGTTTCATGCAGATATTTACAAGATCGATCGTTTGTTGTTTCAAAATACCCAAAACTGATACTCGAAAATCGATAAAGAAAACGCCAAGGACATTCCCATAATTGACTGTATTGCTTAGTGTTTAGGGATTGGCAATAATTGAACGGAGAGACACGAAAGTTGACCAACCATCAATTATCATATGGGTTGGGGGAAACTGCTTCTTTTGTATTAACCTTTCCAATCATGTGCTGATCTCGTGAAAGTTCATCGGATTGCCTATATTAGCCACGACGTCCGTTTTTGGGACGTCGATCAGCACACCGAACCATGATATTAAATCGGGCATTTCTCCCACTCCACACATTTCACCATCACGTATTTCCTAAGTTGATAGTTTTCGATTAGTTACGGTTCCTGGTGTTTGGTTTCATTGTCATCTGAACCCTAGAATTTGAGAGGCACAGGTGTCAGTAAGCGTCGTTCGTTTTAGCGAACTGTCGAGTTTATTTCTTTTTGTTTTCGTTTTATAACCGTTTGCTGTTTTCGCCGAAATAGCATTTAGTCACAAGAAAGAATAGAAAATAGTAAACAAAACGAACTCCCCAAACATCATTGTTATGGGAATGTTCTTTGAATAGGGACGTCATCATTTCTTTATAAGGAGAATATTAATGCCGACTGGTCCCGATTGACTATATCTAGAAAAGTACTAAACCTCCAATCACCTAAACGTCCGTCCATCAACGTAAAATCGCATACCTTCACAAGGCAAATTTACTATTCGCGAACACAAACTGCATTATGAACCAACGTGCTTTTGGCGTAAATCGCTCTCACAAAGCAAGTGGATTTGTTATTAATACAGCTCCAGTACAGCGCTCTGCAGACATTTTTCGTGAAAAAATTTTTTAACCAACTAATAGTGAAAGTTTTTATAATACGATTAATACGATAATTTAAAAATACAAGAATATGGGTAAAGCTAACGGCGAAGACAGCATTATTGTTAAAGTAAAGTATGACACGCCTACAGAATCGATGGCTAGGAATTTTTACCTGCCGTCGAAGGTTAGACTAGAAGACTTGGAGTATAAGGTAAAGCGCTGAAACGAGTCAACTTCCGATGCCTAAAGAAATAGTCATATTAATATTGTTTTCAACCAGATTCGCGAACGCTTCGAGATAACAAGTGATCTTAAAGTGGAACTCTGTTATGTAGACGAAGATGGAGACAGAATCATGATCACTCATGATGATGACATGTTGCTCGCACTGAGCCAAGAGAGAAAACCTACATTTGAACTGTTGGTTAAGTCCAAGGTAACTGTAATCAAGTATTAAATTTCTCATTATCTAAAGAGATTATTATTAACAATAAATAAACATGCTTATTACAGGTAAGCGAAGAAATGTGTCTTTATCCTGAAAGCGCAAAGGGCCAACCGGGCGAAGCAATTGAAGTATGGATTGCTGCTCAATATCTTACTATTGCAACTGCAACGAGAGAAGATTCAAAGGCATGGGGAACGTTTATATACACAGACGATTCCGACGTTCTCAAGGGTCAGTATTGCAAAAAAGAAAAGGTATTCTGTTAATTTTGCGTGCACAGACTAAGATCGAACTATTTTTTACCAGCCTTGGTTCATGCGGACAAGATCTGCCTCGCTCATGTTCCACCTCCCTTTAACGTAATTGCTACGATTCGCTTCCTCCCTGGTTGCGTATCTTATGTTGGTTCCACTCGTAACGACATAACAACTCAGAGTTATGATAGTTATAGCACGAGCTATGTAATCGAACATGTAAGACTAGTTCCAGCTATGGCCCGCGCTAACAAGCGTAAATGAGCTTTGAAATTTTGAGATTTTGTTACCGAATTTTGTTATTTTTTCCTTGTAAACTGCACGGAACGTGCAATATTTTAATAATCTAATTGTAATTTGCTGCAAAGCATATTTGCACAAATACATATGAAATAAAAGAATTTATAGTCTTGTTAATGATAAACGATGGTATGGTAGTGTCCAAATTTCGCAAATATGGGCAAAACAGCACAAGTATTGTTCCACTGCACAGGTCGGTTTTGAAAATATTGAGGTTTTTCTCCTTGTCATAGAGTCATATAAATTCAAATGCATGCAGACATCAAATAGTTCCGAAAGGCTATTTTAATAATGTGAGTGTATCTATCCAAATGTATCGATTTCGCAAATGCCTTGTTCGAATATACGTAATTCTACAAAAAAGTCGACAATTTATTTATCCGTATTTATTATGGTTTATAGAATCGCGTGAATTAGAAGTTTACGATACTGTTTAATAATCAATTATATGATAAATTAACAGAGACCATGGACTTTCCTTTGGGCCAGCATAGCTGTCTAAACCATAGCTTTTCCAGCCGGTTAAATTCGACTTTTGTTGAAGCACATTCTGAAACTGCAAGCAGAATAGTTTTGAACAAATACAGAACCTTTACCTACACAGCTTTTGAAGCTAACATAATAATAACAATAATGCAAATAAACGAGAATCAAGAAAGAAATAAGAAAGTTAGAAAACAATTCAATGTGTTGATAAAAGACTGTTGAGTGCATCCGTTGGTGATAATATTATGTTTTTCACCGATGGCGATTTGGGCTGCTGTGGCTGTGCGGTGTGGTGGCGTATACGTCTTTGGAAAAAAAACTCCCCTCGAAGTGATACGCGTTTTGCTACGTTTTATATGATTGTAACAGTCAAGTAACCGTAACGATTTATTTTGCAGACATAATTTTTTGTTATCATGAATGCAAACACCAGTGTAATTGCATGGCATTTGGACCCAAGCCATGAATGAATATAAAATTTTTTGGTCAGGCAGGTTTTCAAAGATAAAAAGTACCTATTGTAAATGCAACAATGCAATGTTTTTTGTTTGTCGAGCAACTTGTGAATTTCGAACGCTATTTTGAAAAACAAAGGTTTGAATCCAATTGAATAACAATCGTAACTTTTTCGTTTTTCTGCGAAAATTTTTGTCTTATTTGGAATTTGCTCAAGTTCAGTTTTTACAATGTTTATTGCATTTTGGTGTAATAGTAATTATAATTATTCAAGTTGTTAGTAAATTCGCATTGTTTGTAGTATATGATTTCGTGCAACTTCTCATTAACTTGAATAATTTGATGAGCTTGCATACAACAAATGAGGAAATCAAGACATTCATAGTATTGAAACCAAACATCAGCTACAATGTGACACGAAATTATAGAAAAAAGAGGCTATTACGGCACCAGTTACAGTAGGACCTCCCCATGTGCACAGTTGACACTGACTAATTACGTGTTTTATTTCGGAAGCTTTCGGCCCATCTACAGCATTCCCAAATGCACGTCGTATAGTAGATAAAATTTGCAATCTGATATCGCAATATACTGGTATTGTTGGCGTTGTGTTTCAAGATATTTGCAGTCATTTGGTATTGGAAAGGATTTAAGAGAGAAATAAATGGATTCCACGTTTATGACGAATTTATGCCTCATTGTTATTTTTTACATGACGCGTTCGATTCCAAGTTGGTCGCGTTAAACTTTATCAAGAATTTTATGTCACGCTGTATAATGGGCAACCAATTTTTGGTATTCCATGGATTTCTCATCATTCATGCCGCCAAATACCTCTTCAGTCCAAGGGACTCGTAAAATCTATTTTCTGACAATATTTTGGAGATTAATTCAGTTTACAACAATTCAGATGGGTGTGTAGGAAGACCAGAAATTTTACGAGAAATTAAAATTGCTCCTTTGAGATAATGTTTGGCTTTCAGATGACCAAAGAACAACTGAATAACTATAACTAGTCAATCTTCGATTTATAAGACAGTATTAAGTATTGGTTGAATTCTGTTGCTCTTTTTGATTTTCGGATTATGCTACTAATATAATCAAGTCTGTTACTAGCACTATTTTAACTTATGTCAGTTGCAATAAAGAATATAGCAAAAGGCTAATTAGATGAGTATAGTAGAAAGCATTTTAGAATATTATTGTCCATTAAGAAGCGTATTAGTGTATGAACTGACTCAAAAAATTTCCTTCATGACATCTGTCTGGGATGTTAATTTCAACCATGTGGATAACATTATTTCAAATTTTTATTGGCAGAGATAAAGTAATGCTAAAATAATATAATAGTAGAGGAACCTTTGATGTCCTGAAGCCTGTATAGTATTAATCTTCCTTGTTCCATTTAAACATTCTTTTTACGTGTCAATTTTGCCATTATTTCTCATAATCTTGTCCTATTGTAAATAATTTTATACATGATTAGAAATGTCATCATTAAAAATCATAGAATATTAGTCATTTCAGCTTGTTATACGTGGGTGTAATTTTCTTTCAGATCTAAATAACAATAAATCTGTACGCGTACGTGCATTCATTCAACTGTTTTGATTACTGCTGAAATTAGGCCTTCATTGGTCTTATTCCTTGGCAATGCCCGAAGACGCGCTTAGCGATATCATCAGATGCGTTGCAGCGGGCTTAACCTTTTTATCTGTTCTACCTGAGAAAGAATGTCATATCAACGCAATCGCCAATTCAATTCCCTTTTTAGCAGATTCTTCTTATAATTCAGTTATGTGTTTTCGAGTTTTAGCTTTTATTCCAAAAGCGTTTACAAAAGAATCGTGCTGCCTGGTGACGTTTTCATGCGACTTGTCTGTTAGCTTATTAGAGCGGAATTGTTCCTTTATTTTTTCTAACAAAACTGTATGCAGGAACATGAAGGCATGCCTGTTGTACTATTTACAATGTTGATCATCCAGACATAGAGTAGTGTATGCGTAGAGCATCCGTTCCACATCGTTTGTCCATGCTTCGAGATGTTTCGTTGTCTTGGGTTATGAATGAAAAAGGATCAGTTGAAATGAATTCACAGACATTGGAATAGTTTTCCCGGCAAGTGGTAGTAGTCAACAAAAGGGGAAGTATCAATAAATGTGAGAATGGCTGCAGGCTTTATAGTTGAAGTGTTATTGTGCTAGGAATGCAGTGTGTGTAGCAACAATATATTATTCGAGAGGAAACAAAAGGAAATTTACCAGATACATCATCAAAGAGATTTTATTAAATCATAATCAGCCTGATTTAACATATCAAGTAAACTTTTTCACTCTTCTACCTGAAACATTCGCATACCAATCTAGATAAATAGTCTATCATGCGTTATTCCGTCATCTGCCGCTTTCCCCAGTTAATTTTGATTTATAAAACATGTATTTCGGACCAAAAAAAACGAATATTAATATTAACGTTTCAAGGCTACGCAGATCACGGTAAAAAGCGGCCAGTTTAACTCTTAAATATTTGTTTGCATTGCTACAGATTGTCATTACACAGTCCAATACCTGTGAAGATATTGCTAAGCAGATAAAGTGGGTCTTGCCAATCAAGATTGATAGGGACATCTAAATAGTGGTAAGCGAACCAAAGGCAAGTTTGCTTGTAAGGAAGATCGATCAAGTAAGCATAAAGTATGAAATTATCGATATGACCATTAAAAATATAATCTATTGGCTTACAAGACCGTATTCAAACTACTTGGTTTAGTTTAGTAAAGAACAACGCACATGTTTTCGCAAATTGGGCTAAGAACGGGCGGTTGTAACATTTAACATTTTTAATAATAGAGACCTTTTTTACTTTGTAGCACATTTATTGTTACCATGAATTGATTGTTTTCCGGTCTTGATGGCGTTATCAGTCATTATACCCACACACAATGCAAGGTCTGATATTGTTATCATTGTTTCAAAAGTTTCTCGCATAATCGTTAACCAATCACCGTGACGTATATATATATTCTAGCGATGGTTGTATCTTGTTGCGAAGGATCCCTTCAATCGGATTACATCTCGTATTGTTTGATGGACAACATGGCATGATGTTTTGCACTGACAAACAATAACATAAGAGAGCGTTGTTGTTATTATATATATTGAGGTTAGGGCATTCTGAATCTACAAAGTTTCATGGTTGACAAAGACGTTTTGATCTTTGTCTATATTTAATATCGGGAATGCAATTGGAGCAAAACCGGTATAGATTAACAATAGATGATTATGATAAGAACATCGATATGGGGGGGCTTGGATATAAACCGTTAAATTTAAAAAACCCGTTTTACCTTTTATAAATAATTTATTTCTTTATTTCGAGACATTACTTGAAGCTGTCATCGTATGACATTGTAGATCACCAATCCGGTCATGCAAAAAGCCCCATGAATATCAATCCATCTATTATCATTGTCTTTCTTTTAACTTGATTGGTATATAAATACGCCCATTTAATGCTTCAAAGTTTTAACCATAACCGTTTTCAGGTAGGTCGCTTCACAACTCCCAACTCATGGAAAAACAAAAAGGCAGACACTTTTCATTCTAACTCTTGTTGTAAATCCTGTTTGTCGCACATGAAACCAAAACAAGCACATGTTTATCACAACACAACGAATTAAAGTGAGGTGTACGTAAGTCATATTACGCAATCGACTATCGTCTACGTACATCCATGGGCCACATACTACTGCCGACTGTGTTTGAAGGGGTAGTTGGTAAGTGGGTTAGCGTAGCGTAGCGTAATGTAAGGTATGTACCGCAGACCTTGCTGTACATGTACGGAAAAGAGCATGTTTGTAGACACAAATTAAAAACTCTAGCATAATATCAATCCCCAACTTTTTACTATAACCATAAAAATAAACACTTGTCATTGTCAATAAATGTGCACAAAAAACTTCTTTATTTCCCCATTTCTCATAAAGAACTAAAAAAAAATCTTTGATAGAACCAATCGAGAAGGGAACAACGGAAACAAAGGGTGGAATTTACTGGGTATGGAAGTTCGAGTATGAACGAACACTTTCGATTGACTAGCATGACTAGCATGTTCGAGAGAGTGTGTAATAATCTACATACCAGCTAATACAGTACGGTAGAACCGCAAGGTGGACATTGTAAGACTTGACTGTCATATGATTAAAATACTGACCCTCAAAACGTCTTACGCATAAAGCCGGGGGGAAGAAGCAAGAGAAATCAGCCGATCCTTTATCGTTTGCACACCCGAATGACGTTTTGTAAGCCAAAACAAGTAGATGACGCGTCATTGCCCCAGGTTTAGGACCAATGAGAATGCTTGTTGATTACCAAAAAGCTCAATTCGGGCGGAGAAGGAATCAGGCTGAATGGAGCTATGTATGCATGACTAAGGTGATCATAAGTGGGTGAGTTAATGTGAGTGGGCGGCTTGGATTGATTTGTAAGATGGGGGACAATTGATGTAAATTTTATTTATACAAAATATAAATAGTAATATTGTATCAATTATATTATTGTTATTATATGCAGTTCATATCTTTACACATATATACGTACATATATATATATATATATTAACAATTGTATATTAATATAACCAATACATCGTGTTACTGTAAATTAACATATTTATTATAAATTAATATTTACCTCTAACGTCTCCCACTCGGCACCCCCTAATTTCCCCTTTGATATAAATATATACCACCCTTTTTCCTCTTCTCCAAACAGCAACAATATCTGTTCAATAATAATATAACCGAACATAAATTCTATAACAACTCCTTCTGTCCTCCTCCTCTCGTCACCTCTTAGACTATACTCATAATGCAAATCTTTGTCAAGACTCTTACCGGTAAAACTATCACTCTGGAAGTCGAATCTTCCGACAACATCGAAAACGTAAAGCAAAAAATACAAGACAAAGAAGGTATTCCACCAGAACAGCAACGTCTAATCTTTGCTGGCAAGCAACTCGAAGATGGTCGCACCCTCGCCGACTATAACATCCAAAAAGAGTCTACGCTTCACCTTGTTCTTCGTCTGCGAGGCGGTATGCAAATCTTTGTGAAAACGTTGACCGGTAAAACCATCACTCTCGAAGTGGAGAGTTCCGACACTATTGACAACGTCAAGCAGAAAATCCAAGATAAAGAGGGTATCCCTCCCGACCAGCAGAGACTGATTTTTGCCGGCAAGCAGTTGGAGGACGGACGTACTTTGGCAGATTATAACATTCAGAAGGAGTCGACGCTACATTTGGTGTTGCGTTTGCGTGGTGGTGGGAAGGTGACCAAGTGTAAGTTTGGAGAGTGTAAGGATAAGGTTACCAAGATTGTCGGCCATTGTCGATATTGTAATTTGGACTTTTGCGGTAGACATAGACTGCCTGAGGCACATGCTTGCGTCAATCTGACTAGTTGTAAGCAAGCAAGTTTCGAGAAGAACGCTGCCAAGCTGCGGAGCGAACAGTGTGTGGCTAGCAAAGTTGTCATTTAATTCAGTTGGTTTATTTGGGGTTAAGTCTTTTTTTTTTTTCTTCTTTT